AGCTTTTCATTATAATCACTTCATGATTACAATCACTTATACTTCTGCATAAGACTTTTATAACTGCTCAGACCAATTGTTTGAGACTTCCCTTGCTTACAGCACATGTCTAAGATTTAACCTTTGCTTACACCATCCGACTGAGCCACTTGCTTATTTGTTTTCTGGTTGAGACTTCCCTTTGCTTAAAGCACATGTCTAAGACTTCCCTTTGCTCGCATCCTCTGGCTGAGCCACCTGCTCTTCTGGCCATCCAGATTGAGACTTCCCTTGCTCAAGATGCACTTGAAACTTCTTGCTCTCGCCCCTTAGATGGAGACTTTCCCTTTGCTTAATCAGACTAGCTGAATAAGACTTTCACAGCTCAAACACTTAAGCAATGAGACTTACATGGCTTAAGCATCTTGGCTCAAGACTTGTTGTTTGAATCCCAATGAGACAAGACATTTTGCTCAAGCACATAGTAGAAAACTTAATTTAAACTGCTGAAGGCTCAGCAGAATAAAGAACAAGGTGTACATGATACAAGTATGAGAGGTACGAGAAATCACCATAACAAAGACCTAAAACACTTAAGATTTCTAATATATACAGAGGTAAGAAATCTTAAGGCATTTACAATTGCAACATAAAATAGAAAATCTGCATATTACATAGAATTGATAATTTCTTGATGAAGGATATGCAAAAAAGGGAAAGGAAGATTATGTGTGCAAGCTGAATAGGTATTTGTATGGTCTGAAATAATCTCCTAAAAAATTGAATAGGAGATTCAACAAATTCATGACACACATAGGTTTATGAGCTAGTTCGACCGTTGTGCTTACTTTAGATTTCGACCTGGAAATCCACTTGTTATTTTGTTGTTTTATATGCATGATATCCTTATAGCAAGCAACATTTTCAAAGATGTTACGAAGGTGAAGGCTGAACTCAATAAGGAGTTCGACATGAAGGATTTAAGAGTTGTCTCCAAAATTATTGGGATTGACATCCAGAGATATAGAAAGCAGAAAAGATTATGCTTATCTCAAGACAAATACTTGAAGAAGATTCTCGACAAGTTTGATATGTCGAATTCAAAGCTTTTTCTAAAATTGACTAAATCCTCAGTTCAAGCTGCACATGACTCAAAGTACTATTACTGAATTCGAAAGAGATTATATGAATAGAATTCCACATGCTAGTATAATAGGTTTTTTGATGTGTGTTATGGTATGTACGAGGCCATACATAAAGTATACAGTGAGCCTTGTAAGCAAGTATATGGCCAATCGTAGGAATGTGCACTGACAAGCATTAAAGTAGATTCTAAGATACATAAATGGGTCTCTGAGCAGAGTCCTGATTTATGGTGGAACCTGTGGCGATGATAGCAAAGTCAAAATCGAAGGATTTGTCGACTCTAATTGTGCAGGTTGTATGGATTCAAAAAAATTTATTTATGGATATGTGTTCACTATGTTTGACACAACAATTAGTTGCAAAGCAACACTTCAGAAGGTTGTTGCCTTATAAACCACTAAAGCAGAATATATTGCCCTCACTAAAGCTGTGAATGAAGCATTATGGCTTGAAGGTTTTGCTAAGGAGTTGAAATTTCAAGGTTGAGTTAGTAATGTTAAATGTGATAGTCAAAGTGCAATACACCTGTCAAAGAATTTAGCCTATCATGAGCAAACCAAGCTCGTCGATGTAAGGATGCACTTCGTCAGAGAGATAATCAATCATGGTTTCAACTGATGACAATGTTGTTGATATGATCACCAAAACATTGTCAAGTAGCATGTTTTTCCACTGTACGCAATTGATAAAATTGCATGATGAAATCTAGTTTGTTCCCTTGTTAGTGTAGAGTTTGTTCTAAGGTGGAGATTTATGGTATTTAAATCAAACTCTAGTCTTGACAGGGATAGTTTCATGGTTTGACAAAGGTTTAACATGTAGTCAAAGTCTGCTCACATGCTGATCCTGCATGCTGTAGTTGAAGTATGCTCAAGCATGCAGTAGTCGAAATGCTAGGATTGTTAACATGTCAAATTGGGTCTGTTTGTTTAACCCAATTATTTAAGTTAACTTAGTTATTTATAAATAGATTGTTTCTCTCAGGTTGTTGAGAGGGAGTTTTGGTTGTTGATATTGACTTGTAATTTTTGAATCTTAATAGAGAAAATGAATAGTAAAATAGTTATAACTAGTTTTGATTTTTCTTCTTCCTTCTTGTATTTCTTTCGTAAACCTAATAGAGTTTCTTGTGTTCAAGAAACTCAATCTTTTTCATATTTTAATTTATTCTTGACGATATTGATTAACAAAAATGGCGAATAACTTATTAGTAAATATGCTTTCTTACTTTTACCACGATAATACGAATAATAAGGACGAAATTCTCATCCAAATTCTTTCTTTTCTATACAATTTTAATGAATGAGATTCCATGGGTTGTAGGAAGTCGATTGTCGGGTCATGTTCGTGAATCTATAAAAAACTTTTTTCATTTCTTTAAAAAATTTGCTGAAAGAGATACCCCTCATACAAAAAGGATATTTTCTTGAAGGGGAAATAAGTCTCTGGGCGGACGTACATTTTGGCAAGGCTATTCAAAACCTTCTTTATATTCCATAAAAGTGTCTATAGCCAATAATACAAAATCTTGCTATTAAAATAGTACTACCTCTCCTTAGGGTTTATTTGGATTGGTGGAATCAGATGGAACAGAGTGTGATGAGATGGAATTGAATGATATTCTAGTGTTTGGATCATTTAAAATTCGATGGAGCAGAGCGGAATGGAGTGACATTGATTCCATTCTATTCCATCACTTACTACCACATTTCTTCCCCTCCATTTTGGACGGGATAAATAACTTGTCTTATTCCGTTCTAAAATTTTCAAACAACGGAACAAGACATTTCTTTTGCTCCACTCAATTTTGCTCCGTCCCACTCCACTCTACTCCATTCAACCTCGTTTATTTTATGATATCCAAAACTTTAATTTTACACCATCCATATATTTTTATAATATACTAAATTTTTTTAATAATTTAAAAGTGTTAAGATCAATTGAAAGGTTAAAATATTTTATATTGGATAGTTTTAAAATTAAATTTACAGTTTAATAGATGCATAAATATAAAATTGTTTCATGATCTAATAAAAAACCATCCTTATGTCATATAATTAATTATAACTTTTTAATAGTTTGACAGAATATACCTCATTAGATTTCAATGTAAATTTAAAATTATTTCATATCATAAATTTATATAATAATAGTTAAAAAATATATATATTCGGTTTTAATACATAAAATTATGGCTTAAATAGTCATTTGGTAATTGTAAATTAACGAGTTTTTGAATTTAGTCTCTGTATTTTTTTTGTTTGAGTTCTTATAACTCACTTTTGCGTTGCATTTAGCCCCTGACGTTAACCTTCTGTTAAAAAAATGTCGATTGTGCAAACGGTGCATATGTGGAATTGGCTTATGTGTGTTTTTCTTTTTTATCTGGTACGCACAGGGAAATCCATAAGGGCCTTGAAAAGAAAGACTTAATAAAAAAAATCACATTTTGCATTTTTCACTTATTCTTCTTCGTGTCCTCTTCCTCTTTCATTCGTCTCTCAAGAACTTCAACACTTTACCATTAATCAATCACGACAACATCTTCTGTAGGGAATTTCATTGAGTCTAAAATCCCATTTTGTGGTTGCAATAAAGCTATGAGAATGTTCATTTCAAACTCAAGTGAAAACCCTATAAGAAGATTCTGGAAGTGTTCAAATTTGAGATTAGGTTGTAAGCTATTCATCTAGGATGATAAACTTGAACACAACATATCAAGTGAACATAAAAACCCAATTGGATGCAAGTGAACATAAAGATCTTGAAGCTTTTGTTGACTCTTTCATGGTGTCTCTTCTTTTGTCTACCAAAAATGGTAGTGATTCACGAAGTATGTGATTTGTTTTTTGTTTTGTTTTGTTTTAGTCCCTATTAAAATATTGGTTGTTGAAATGTGTCCTTGCAATGATACATTATGTAATGAATCATAAGTAACGTAATTTTTTTATTTTCGTCCCTAAATGTTGCCTCCCCCTTTCTTAATGAAATGTCTGTATTACATCATTGGTTGTTAATGATATGTTTTTATGTCATCTCTATTTTGCAATCTTTTAGTTAGTATTGTATAACATAAAGGTATTAAAAAGTGATCTTAAAATATAGGCAAAACACACCATACATAAACCAAACAATGTTTCATAATTACATATAGTCAAAAGACATATAAATTTGTCACATAGTACAACAAATACACACCTAAACATAAACCATAATGGTGTGATATGTCTCAAAAGTAAATAAAGCCAAATTTCATAGACTTATGTCTAACAATACAATAAAGACACAACAAACATATCCAAAAGGCATCAAAATACACTATGGTAACATGCTTATGGACCCTTGTCCACATCCATAGGCCGTGATGAATTACTTCCTTCTCCTTTCAGGTTTTTGCACCTAAGGACCTTTGTTCTATCACTTATCCTCAACTCCAATTTCCTTGCAACTTGTGATTTGTTTGTCTTCGTCTTCCTCTTCTTCTGTAAAATATAGGATATTAGAGTTGAAACACATGAATAAAATAATACCAAATTATTAAGAAGTGGTACAATATACTTAACTATTTTAAGAACTTTCGGAGTAGTAGACACATATGTAGCTGGCACATTGTTAGATGATTAAACTTGTGCACTCAAAATATAGTTAGATATATCTCCAATTTGTGAAGTTGCAACAGGTGCAATGTTACCTGGTTCAATTTGTGCAGATGATGGCACACGTTCAGTAACAACAATATTAGGTTGTGTTTGAGTTGCCTCAAATGGTCCTATAAGATTTGCAGCAAGTATTTCAAACTCAGGGTCAACTTGAATTTTAGTCTTATTTGCTTGTGATTGTTCTTAGCCTGATGTAGCTTGAGCCTGACTTTGTCCTTAAACTGATGTAGTTTGAGTTTGACTGTGTCCTTGTCCTTTTCCTTGTCCTGATGCAGTTTTCTTTGGCTTCCTCTGGACAAACAAATCATAGTCAAGTAATTGACATTATCAATGACAATAGTAAGATGTGCAAAGTTATAGCAAATTCAATACCTTGCATTTGTTAGCTTTAAGGTCAACCACTTGGCTGGTACAACTTCTTGCATTATGGCCATGTACACCACATCTAATGCAACAATAATTAGTTTCTGATCTTACTTTATTAGGGTCCTCATCAGGTTCCCTCCTTATCAACTTCTTTGATCTGCCAGGTCCTCTATTATAGGTTGGAGACAATATCTCTTCTGTGTCAACCTTTGGCCACATGTCTTGGCCATTAATATGACTTAAACTAAAACTATATAGCATTTCACACAGGTTTCATTGGAATAACTGTCATCAACATAATCTTCTGGGCATTGGTTCTTAAAACACAATGCAACTATTGCATGTCTACAAGGAATGCCCACTAGTTCCCAAAAATTACATGTGCATGTTTTCTTTGAAGTATCCACAACAAAACTATTCCTGGTACGTGTATGTTCCACTTGCCATAATGTATCACTATACCAGTTAGGAATCCAATTCCCTGCATGTTCTACTTCCTTATCCAGCCTGAGTCTAGGCACTATCCTATGATTCCATCTATCAACCATTTCTCTCAAGATGACATTCCTATTCATGATATAATTTCTTATCCATTCACACATATTTAATATTGGTTTATCACTTACAACTAATATAGTAGTATTAAAAGCCTCAGAGATATTATTCATTGGAACATCACATTTAGGATAAAAAGAAAATGCATGCTTACATCATGCTATGGTAGGTATGCCTGATAGCTACTCCCAAGCTTTCACATTGAGCTCATTCGTCTCTTTCATTTTAGCCTCTCGTGCTTGAATATATGTGGCTTTGGAAGCTGCCACTGTTAAGTCTCTAATTTGTGTCCCTTCACCAAACTTCTTTTTAAAATTGGCATATAAATGCCAGAGACAAAGTATATGTTCCACCCTCTGAAACAACTCTTCAAATAGTGGTATAAAACCCTACAAATTTAGGGATGAAATCCAAAAAAATTAACATGGTTAGGGATGGAATCCAAACAAATGAACATAATCAGAGATTAGATAAAAAAAAACATAACAAGTACCTTTTGTTGGTCAGAGATGAAAACCCATCTCTTATCTTGACTAATGTCTTCTAGAAGCAATGTTAGAAACCACCTCCATGACTCTTGTTTTAGTTTCACATACACCATAGGCAATGGGATAATATTAGTCATTTGGATCTCTACCAACTGCAATGAGGATAGTCCTTCCATACTTTGTCTTGAGATGACATCCATCAACAAAAATGAATGGCCTACAAGAGGTTGTGAATCCCTTTTTAAGACCATCTAAGCAAAAATAAAAGCTATCAAACCTTGGTTGTATTGTTGGCCCAACCATTGTTAGATTAATTTTGCAAGTGTTCTCAACATTGACTCTTCTTAGATCTGTAGAGTATCTCCATAAAATGCTGTATTGTTTCATTGCATCGGCTTTAACCAAAGCTTTTGCAATTTTTTTCCTTCCATGCTCTGCTCATAGTTATACCAACTGAAAAGTTACTTCTTATCTCAGTCATAATATCTTAAATCTTAACACCATCTGAAAAAGCCATTCTAGCCGCCACAGTTTTAGCAACCCACTTGAAAGTGGAAGAGCTATTATTTAGTACTCTACCACACGTGTGTGTTCCAATCCATTTATTCATTCTATACGCGTGCTTATTCCCAACTTTACTTACAAGTGTTAAAAACTCACATTTGCCTTTGCAAATTACGCTTACTCTAACTTTGTCATTTTTCACAAACTTCATTTGTCTACCATTCAATACTGACCATTCACTTATTGTCTCCTTAAATTCTTCAAGTGATACAAACTCAAATCCCATTTTAAACTTGTAATTCTTGTCCAACTCATGAATCTTAAACCTTGGGTATTTTGGTTCCTTTTCTCCATTAGAAGCATCAGGGTCACTACTACCAAGTTTATCACTGACATAATTGATGTCCATTTCATTAACCACACCAAATGGTACTTTCTTAGGAGTGTGCTTGTGCTTCCTTGCTGCAACTTTTATCCTACCTCTTTTTACCATTATCTTCAGCTTGATTTTCTGCAGCATCAAAACAATCATCCAACCCAAAAGCCCTCTTATCCTCACTATCATCAAATGATAAACCATCAGTTACAAAGTTAATATCCTCGCTGTCCTCATTATCCTCATTTACTTCAACTTGTTGAACTCTACTTACACTAACTTCTCCATCTTTCTCAACTTGCTCCACACTACCAACATTATCTACTTCAAAATTTTTCACACCACCAACACCAGTAGCTACTTCATCTTGATCCACACCACTAACATTATCCACTTCAACATTCTTAACACCGCCAACATTATCCACTTCAACATTCTTAACACCACCAACATCATTACCTAGTTCAACTTGTTCCAAACCACCAACACTACATACTTCCACATTTTCAACACCACCAACATCATTACCTAGTTCAACACCATCAACATCAACTTCTTTTACATCACCTACATCAGCTTCTCCTGCATTGCGTTTACCTTTATGCTCTACATATATATGCACTGCACATTTCATTTCCATGACATATTAATATACATTAGTAGCATCTGTGTCACTAACCATTCGACCATACCTATCAGCATCACTGTTATACCACCATAGTCAATACTCGGTCTTCTCGTACTCAATTAACTCTTTCACGATACCCATTGCTTCAAATAAGCTCCACATATCAGGATCTATTTCTACTGCATGCTCGTTTTCCCTTGTGTAGTATATTAGGCAGTCCCTATCAAATTTACTCTCGTAATGAACAATCAAAGAGAACTCCATGAGATGCAAGTTTCAAGAAGACACAATAATTGAATATTCGTACCTTCGTTTTGAAATCTACTGCATGCGATACGCGTTGGATGATCTTGATATCAACACTTTGCCATCTCCGTCCTCCTCCCTCACACAACAACTTAAATGGAGGATTTCTATTTTTTAAAATTAAAAATCCTAATTTACAGGGACTAAATACAAAACTGAACCCTAAACAAGGGCTTGCATCCCTCTAACCCAATTTACAATTGCCAATTCATCTACCCCGCCCACTATGACAAAAGAAATAGTGTATATTGGTAGTATATTATTGACAAAATACCATTTTTATCCTTCAACTATACTCTTAAGTTTAAATTGGTCCCTTAATTATTTTCACGTCAGATTGATCTTTTAACTTTTTAAAATATATTATATTAATCATTTTTATCCCATTAACAACATACTAAAAATTTAAAAATTCGTTGCTAAATTTATTGCTAATTAAAAAAAAAAAAAAGAAGCATATAATTAAGGGATCATATTTTGTCTATATTATTCCTCTCCTTTATTTTCTATTTTTTACAAAATTGTTTGTAGTAATTTTTGGAGGAATCCGAAAGGTCGAAGATGAGTTTATAGTGCATTGCTCGGGTGGATTAGAAGTAAGAAGAAAGTAGGGATGACAATGTCGGTGCTTATTCCGATCACTCCTATTTAACTTCACTTTCCAATTCCGTTTTCTTCTATTTCCCCTCTTTTCAATTCACAACCCTATCCCCTTCCTAATTCCGATTCAAGGTTTTTCACTAACCAACCCAATTCCATCTTCTTCATTTTCATCAATTCAATTAAACATTCAATTCATCATCCATTTGAATTAATCCATTGCTTTTGTTTTCAGCAATTAGGTTTTACAGTTTCACTCTCGTGATAATAAGAAGTAATTAGGTGTGTATGCTCAGTGTGTTGTGAAAACCATGCCTCGTAAAGTTAACTATGGAATCGATTACTACGACGATGACTATGAGGACTACGATGACTATGATTATGACGTTGAAGCTGAAAACTATGGTTAGTTAGTTTATCTTCTTTTTCATTTTTAACAGAAGTTAGTTACTTCATATTAATTATTAGTTTTTAGTTAGTTTCTCTGAATTATATTATTGCCCTTTATTTTTATTATATAGGAAAAACTGTTTGTGGTTAGTTTGTTAGGGAGATAAAGCTTGGTGTCCTAACCCATATCACTTATTTATTTATTTATTTTTTAGTTATGTTTGTTATGTGTTAGGCCTCAGAAAATGTGTTAGAAGTACATAGAAGGAATGAAACAGTTAGGATGGGTGGTTAAGGTAGTTAGAGGTTGTGTGTGTATGTGTTTGGTTAATTAGTTTGATTTGGGTGGGTCAACTTTAATGAGAGCCTCATGTATATATACAAGTTTAATAGTTGTCATCTTTATCATCAAGACACAAGAAAACAGTTTATTAGTTGTTTGAACTTTGAAAAGAGTTAAGTTAGTTGACGGCTTACATTATGATTACATATATATTATTTAATCAGTCTAGTGTCTTTAACTCATTACTCCTAAAAGCAGTGTAGTCAATGCTTAATGGTGGATTAAGTTTCTCCATTTCCAGACACTCATGGCAGAGCATTTAACCACCATGACTTCGTGCCACAAATATGGGCTGTAACATCCATGAACAACGTGGTGTTGAAGTTACCGGTTTAGATAAAAGAAGGAAACTAGTAAATTAGAAAAATGTAATTATGGTGAAATATGATTGATAGTGATTTGATACTAACTTGATACAAAAAGACCAAACACTAACCTTATATACAGGGATACAAAAATTCCAATCCTAAATAAATAAGAAAATAAAAAACAAATCATTACCATAACTAAGTAATATGGGAATTAATGTTAATAGATATACTGGTAGACAGGGGTATAGAGTAGCCCTTTTTTTTGTTGAACAGGAATAGGCTAGCCCATTATTTAGTAAAGTGTGCTACTGTCGATGATGACCAAATTTGGATTGAGGAAATCCCAAATTGGTTAATTAAAACATTTGTATCTAAGGAAATCTCCTTTTGATTAATCAAAACATTTGGATGGAGAAAAGTCACATGGAGTAAGGAAATTATTTTTGATCTGAAATCTATGTTGATATCTTGGTAACGTTATTTAATATTTTTATTTTACAAACCTCATAGCATTTTTCTGTTGTAACAGGAGCAGGAGAAGGACCCGATGCAAAGCAAGAGACCATTAGGCCTGGAGTTTGGCAATGCCCCATTTGCACATATGACAATGATGATAGTATGACTTCCTGTGATATTTGTGGTGTTGTACGTCATCCCTTGGTTAACAATGGAACTTCCAACATTAACAAAACAGGTAATCCAATTAGAATCATTTAGTTTAGTACTAGGTGTAAAGGGGAATAAAGTTCCATTAGTCTGT